TCCACTCATACGATGTCGTTCACATCAATAACAGAATAATCGAAACTGACTGGGACACGGAGTGTCGACGACTGTATCCGCAGTTAGCGAGAACTGTGACGCTGGTGAAGCTGTCGTGTGGACGTTGGGACTGTCGGTTTAGATTTCCCATTAAAAATAAACCACTGTATACTGACTGTGGCATGTCAGGGGGTCAGATAAGGCGACAATGGCTGTCGTCAGGGGGGGGGGGAATAAAAGTAAGAAACTAAGTTGCCAGTTTTGTTTGAGCAGCTGGAATACAAGGCGCATTGTTGCATGGTTAGGAGGCATGGTCACAAGGGTTAGAGAATCTGAGAAATTTTCAAGTCTCTAATCACCGATTTCTTCAACCAGTAAGATCACAATGAGGTGATCGAGTCCTTACTGAGGTAGAGTGAAGCTCCATCAAGGAATTCGGCTCTATGAACTAAGGCGACTTGGTCATGTGCCACGCATACCGCGTCAGTCTGTCAAGAAGAGCGTTGTGTTACGCTGTATTACGTTGTGTTATGACTTAGCATAAGAGAATGAAGGTGCTAGTTGCCTTCCAGGATGGGGGTCGCGTGACTCTCATTGCGCTTGGCTGGAGACAGTGACAGGTATGGCGGCTAACCAATATCAATGGCGTTCACACTGTCAGCTTCCAGTCACATTATCTGACTGCGCATTGACTGCGTAGGCACCTCCAACGTTTGAGGTAGGCTAGCCTTAGGTCCCCTTCTTATCTCATTTTCTTCTTTATTCTGCTTTATTCAGACAGAATGACACGGCTGTACAGCTGTGAAGCACCAGGGTTCCCTCTCACGTTGATTTCAATGATGATGATGATGATGATGATGCACTCTGATATAGTCCTGAAAAGACTATAGCTGAACAGAAGTAACTGCTATTTGTCTGTAAACTGCATAGACTACAGCTACATAGTCAATCGTCATATAAACGACGACAAATGGACCTAATCGAAAACCTAATGATGGTCATGCCTGCGTTGTTAAGCGGGGAAGCAAAGTGAACAAGATTCAATAGTCGAAAAGTAACGCGCAAATCTACGGTTGCATCCTCCTCTTAGTAGATACCAAGGGTAATACAACCTTCTCCATGCGTCGTCTAATCGGGTTTTTCGGAAGCGTACGGTATCACAACATTTGGGAGGTGGGCACCATCGTAAAAAACTGTAACCCACAGGTTATTACCTGTGGGTCGTTCCAAGCTCGGGAAAACTTCAAACAAGATGTTTGATAACGTGATTCATGTGAGCCGCATCGAGTGGACACTCAATGTGAAATCGTATTGTGTACCCTTGTAATACCACACTGCCGTACACTCTCCTGCAGGTTACCCGCTTATTCCCTCTCTTTAAGGGCATTTACCTTCTTCCTCCATTCCGATATTGGATTGATGGGCCTGGCTATTGTCTTGAGGAGCTCCGAGTGTCTTTGCTGAAAGTATTCTGAAGAGCCCTGGCGATTTTTTGAAGGAATTCTTGTAGTCCGGTCATTTGCTTTTGTGGCTGACGAGTGAACAAACAGTTCGGATCCCATTTTCTCGAGCCACTGTGTTTCAGTGAAAATAACCGCTGAACTTGTGCGATTCTATTATTATGGCTGGTTGGCACTCAGCTTCGTGCTTCTCGCACGAGCAAGAAAGCTCTGTATGACATCCAAGTATTGATTGTGCATGGGTGAGTCGATATTAGACCATTTTTGATTGAGAATACGACGTTCAGAGGATCTCCATAGAGCCCGCACTGGTCCACAGATATGGGTTTGGTGCATAAGCTCAACATCCTGTAATGACCACAACTTCAGGAGGAGATTTCGGAGTTTCAATTGAGATTTTGTTCTGTAAGTGAAGCCGGCTCGTAATGAAAAGCCGAGAGGTGTTGTACAACTGCTTCATCCTTATTTGGAGGCATCAGTAATGCGAAGTTCACTAGTCTAAAGTTTGACGGTGAGTCAGAAAAAGCACGTCTGTAGTGGTAAAAAAGGACGACCCATACATTGATAGATGAGGATTTACAGTGCTACGTGGTATGAAGCAGATGACGCGCGGCCGACTGACCATTCAAACCAGTATATAGATTGGGCTGTGCGACACTCTTGAGCAAAGCGATTGTCATGAACAGACGGGAAATACAGCACAACGTAGATCTTACCTCCACATCTGCAGCTAAGTCAGAATCAGGCTCGACGAGAGCTTTTCGTTTGGGCGAATTTTGCGGATTCACGTTGATGTCCAGTCTCCGTACAGAGTGTGGAGATGAGGACCGTGTCCAACGATCAGACACACCATGATTAGGAATTGGAATGGCACTGGAAGAGGAGGACACACAGGTCGCAGCGCTGCCAGAGAACTGAGCTGGGTTCTGTGATGAAGAATCAGTGAACCAAGGGTGTTGAAATAGCTCTCGTGTGGACGGACGTTTAGCCGGGACTTTGGCCAGCATGACCCGGATCAGACGTTCACAACCTGGTGGGGGAGAAATAAGAAGTACGAAGAAAAGAAACGAAATTGCGTACAATAAGTATTTCAACTGATCACCCTAGCACGTATTCATTAACACCATCAATGACAAGTTTCGGTTGCCTGCTACCATTATCGCACCAAACCGCAGTAATGTGGGGGTATCCGGGCAATGGCGTAGACACTTTACACCTCTCAAGTATTTATCAACGGCTGTCGCATTTTTGCATAGTAACGTCCGAAAGCAAGCAACGAAGTGTCTGATGGTGGTCGACGGATGAATATGCAGCATACGGTTATGGAAGCTTTTGGCTGTCATAAGACCACTCTAGTCAGCTCAATAGTACCACTACTATCGTTTACATTTGAAGAGCATGGTCACAAACAAAAACACTAAATCCCAGCGATGGATGTGGAAAGGCGTACAGCAGAATATTAGATAAAACGGGCGAAGCGCCCCGTTCGAAGGCTTGCCACCAACAGTTCCAGTGAGGCAAGATGAACCTCAACGTAAGTGAGAATGTTTGGTATGGAAACACTCGTGCAGAGACCGGCAACCGAAGAATGGAAAAACAACCCTGAGTGCTTTGAAGTCAGCGCTAGCACAGTCACAACTCGCACATCAGACACAAAGTGTCCGTCATACTCGGTCAGGTGTGAAAGTCAACGCCATGTACTACGTGCGTACATGCGTACAGAGTTAAAAATAGCGAGCAAAAACAAGTCACTGACTGCGATTTTAGGAAGTCCCAGTTCAGGAACAGTCTTGGCGGATCGGTTGGCGGACCAAAAAGTCGATATCGCAATCGACTGCACTAATGATAATGGCTGCGTTGGCTTTACCGTAAAATAATGGATTAACTAGGTGTCATCAACAACCTTGTTAGCAATGAGAACTGAAAAGCAGGGCCACGCTGTTACGATCGAGTACACGGATCCATGGTCACGCCATAGATATCTTTCAGGATGTCGGCGTTCCGTTGTGTGGCCGTATTGCTTGCCGCTGAGCTTCCAAATGTAACTTGGTGCTTTTGATTTGGATTCAGCTGTATTTATCCTCTCACTAGCTCCTAACTCTCACACACTTTTCTCCAATTCTGCTGCCGAAATTTCGGCATGTGTTCGTGTTCCATCTTAACTTTTAAATTATGAAAAGAAAATATATTATATATTGAGCTACGAGCAGTCTAGACAACGATGGGAGGGATTGGAAAAGTGTCAGAGGAGATTCTTCCACAGATACTGTGTAATCGATTTGCTTCCGAGGCTGTAAGGCTTCGCATCAGTGAATCGTTCACCCTTTGGGGTCCGAGGGAAATAGTTGAGATCGAGTGCAGTAGGGCAAGTAACGTGATCTGGCAAGCTGATAGCTATCCTTTCATCCACATAGCTACATATAGGGAGAACGAACACAAGCAACAAAACTCTCTCGCGCGCGCGGGCAGCAGTAAGTCAACCTCTCTCCAGAAGTCCACGGACAACTACGGGACACGTGCACCAGCTACACTGCGGAAAAAACATTCCCGCCGTCCGGAATTTCACCAGGTAACTCTCACAAACGAAGAGTTCCCCTCTTGACTTGCTCCGCATTTCGCATTGGATTTTTTTATACGTGTTGCAACTCACCACTACCAACCATGGTAAAAACTTTTATTGGTGCATATACCTTCTGAATTATATTATGGCTACCATAACCCGTGCACTAATAAACTAACTGAGTGACGCGAGGACTCACCAGCTGAGGGCCATCATCATCATGGGCAGCAACACCAGACGGGCGCACTGGTGCTTCACTGCCATGTCAACTTATATGAACAATGGAAAGAAAAAAATTGATGCCGAGAGGGACTTATGACGAGCCTCCCCGAAACATGAGGGGTGTCCAGACCCACAACTTTCAGCTAGACAATCTGAATGGAAACTCACATGAATGCTAAGGATAGAGAAGTTTGGATGTTCGTCCACAAACAGCCGCACTGCATACAGATACATAGAAACGCAAACCTGGATTTGTGGGGATCTCTGTTCAGATTGTGACATAACTATTTTATATATTTTGTTCAGCTGTAGCACCCTTCCGGTGCCTAGCTGCCATACCACCCGAAGGAAGCACGAGAGCTGGGATACTGCCAGGTTGTCCAAGCCTAGACAGGGGAATTCGAGAGGCGGAGGCCAGGTTCGAACCACGGACCTTTCGGTCAGTAAATTCGCGCTCTAACCACTTGGACCATCTCGCCCCGATTGTGACATAGCTTTATGCGAGTTTAAAGAACGTCTCAAAATTTTATAGAAAACGGACAAAAACTGTTTTCATGAATGATGTAGTTTAGCAACAAACCACGCCGCGCATCACACGTAGTGAAGCACAAAAATTAGTCCAACTTAAGGGTCAGTAGGTCATGGGATCTCAAGAGTAGCTATATGTGAGGATGACGAAAATAGAAGACCGATTTCGGATAAGGGGACAGTCCGAAAGATGTGTGGAACAATGAGAACACAGATGAGAACTGGTCAGCTGAGTTATACGAAGGGAAACCGAAAAACTCCATTAGTAAGCTGTCCAACTTGTTTGCATAGGATCGCCACTGACTATAATATGTTGCCAAAGTAGAAACTATCGCCAACCATTGACGAGGTTTGTCGTCGGGCGACTGTTTGTCAGTGTCGGTGGTCTTGGAATGTTTGCGTGAACACAGACCATAGCCTGATCGGCTTCGCGTTTCGTTCGCAGGGGGTGAATAAAGAGATTTATGGACTCAATGTTATCTGGACGACGCAACTGAAAAGTAAGCGGACCATCACCACCGCCAAAAGCAACTCAATTGGCAACTCGAAAGTGGCTGGCAGAACCGAGAATGACGTGAAAAACAGCGATCGGAGTACACGAAGTCATAATTGAGGCTGAACCCAAATTGGAGACCCGAATGCTCTACAACACTCATTGGAAGCGGGAGAAAGTATATTTTCAGGTAGATAGTACGACACAACAAGAGGAAGTCCAAAGCGAGGGCTGACTCGCGACCGTAGTAGTTGGGAAAGACGGCGGTCACTGGAAACTGCCGAATGTTATTCACAACACTCAACTGAAACAATCGCCAGACGATGAAATCACTGAGCTTAAAGTATCATCTTTTGCTTTCACGAACAGCAGTTTGAACAATTTGGCTGACTCATCGTGAACAAATGGACGATAAACCGTTCATATGCTTTCCAGTGGAACGAGCGCAGCTGTAGTCAAATAGGATGTTAGCAGTGAAATTAAACTCTTAGAGAGGAAAGAAGCACTCGACTGAGATTGTTTTCCCCTGTCTTGCGTCAGGATTGAGAAAGACTCATTCAATGTGAGGAGTGGTACGTTAAGTTGTGAGCTAAAGGACCAGACCTGGATGGGTGAATCATCATCATTCTGAGGATAGTCGATTCTGCGCTGCTAGTAGTTATCATCCTGTGCACACTGACCGGTACTCATGAGAGGCAATACCATGAAATTCGAGTTGGATCTTTTCCAAGTCGCAGATGCGTACTTTCACTCTTCGATAACCATAACAGAACATGGCTTACGACTGTCATCGCCCTAGATTTCAAAACAGCACTCAACTCGGTTTACGACTTCTCGTCGTAGATTTGCACGAAGCTTCTTCGATGCCAATACCCAGTGGACACGCGTCTGTTTTTCCAAGTTCATCGCACATGGTGGCGTTTTTTCCACTGTCCACTTGCACACTGTTCCCGCTCAACTTCGTCATTCAACCTCCTACACGGGAAGTGTTTTCATTGCCCACTAGCGTCAGAGCTCCCTGGAAATACCCAGTAGATCTGAAGTGTGCATATAATATCACGGTTTCAGTCCAAAGAAAGAGCGCAATGAATAACTTAGATGGAATGTGTTTTGCACCTTAAGAAATGGAGCATTTCACTCTAAGACTGAATGGATACAATATAACAAACGTGGTCACGGAATCCGAAACGCTAAAAGTGATTTATAAAGTGACTTGGGTGCGAAGGTTTGTCTCTTCGGACCGCAATATTGCCAACCGGATGAGTGTCTGACTGTCCAAGGCAACTCAGACGTCATTTATAATAGAGGGCCACGATCGATGGGTTTTGGAAATGGGAAAAAAGTCTCGTGGCTTCGGCGACGAACACTACAATGTTATCGTGGGAATGCGGAACTGTGACGGACGGCTTTTGGGAATAAATTGACCACTTGTCAGCCAGCAATGTGATATGGCCGAACCGGGCAGACTGACCCCAATGTGTCGGGTGGCGGAGGGGTTAGCAATGCTGATGCCTGCTCTGATCGGAAAAGGCAGGATAAGCAGAACATAAATAGGAGCGGAGGAGAGAGACCAAACCTAGAAACGATTAGAACCTTCCCACCGACAAGGCGACGTCCAACCGCATGCACTCGCATGTCCCAGCCATACGGTTTGCTCCTTTGTCTCACTTCATACACCTCAACTAAGCTCCTGCCTAACCTTGAACTATTGGCATTCATATGCTGTGGCAGCCCGAACTAACATGCACCGTCAATAGATGCAAAATGACACTGAACTGAACCGAGGCACTTAAGTACGGCGGTCAGGCACTACCAATTATAAAGTGTCGGGAGAGAAGTTTCACACGCAACGGTTTCTTGTTTGCAGTAGCTCATGTTTTTCAGTAGGAATTCGGGTCACAAAGTGAGTAGTGCTAGAGCGAAGTATCGGATTAGTGTATTCCCAAAGGTAATGATGTACTGCGCTGTGCATTGCCATAAAGCAGTCAAGAATCATGCGGCGGTGGGCAAGGGGATTGGCCATCAGTACAATATCGGATCGCATATGGGGTGTACAGACAGTGAATTTGAAAGATGGGGAAAGTGAACGTGCATGATCAAAAACTGTTGGTGGAACGGTTGTTAGTGAGTTTTTGCGTTTGTGACGTAAATACCAGTCATAGACGACGTCAACTAACCAAGTGGGATCTAGTCACTTCATTAAATACACAACTATTTACAAGGAATAAACTGTAAACATTCTTTTAAAGAGTATGACAAACGATGCTGCAACACCATCGAAAAAAATAGGAAATGGAAGACCACGATAAGAAATGCAAACAAACCTCAGGCGTATCCGATGCGCATGTGACGTATCAAAAAAAACGTTCTGCACTAGTCGCACATGACGCTGAGTATTTTGCTTTGAATTATGACGCAGTAATCTTTTTTCAAAATACCATTTAGAAGAAGAGCAAGTTTCACGGACGGAATACTGTTTGAGGGATCACTGTACATAGGAATTCACAAAAGTTATCCAGTTTGCGAAATCTACTCTCTCTACCGTCCTGATGCAGAAATGCAAAATATAGGGCAGCACAACTCGTACGTAAGGCTCTGGCGTCATATCCGCCAGTAGTGGATTCATAGTCGGCAAGAGATGCCGGGTTCGACTGAACGACTCATGAACCAGCCATCGGACGTCTGCAGACCATGTGACCCTACTGCCCTGCTCGGAACAGCATGGCGCATGGGAATGCCATTCGAATGACAAGAATGCTCTTGAGGCCGATTCGTCATCTGCCCACAGGAACCGGTCGCAAGAGTGAATTCTCCCCAAGTAGTCTTACACAACATTGGTGTTAATCGGCTATCCTGTGAGTCTCCACTATGCTTCTGTGGTATATAAATTTCGAGGAACTTATCGTTACCCTTTACAAATACTTTACCTGACGCATTCGTTCAAACAACACAGGTTTGAAACAACGATTTGTCGTGCTCAGATTACTACCATCACAAGATAGCGGGCAATTTTCTGGCAGTTCTTTGTGAACACACACAGGATTTGTGAGAAAAAATGGAATAGAAAATTTGAAACGGTGCACCGGTCGAAAAAGAGTGGTGAGAGCGGGCTATGAATTCAGACAGTCTGTCTGAGACTTATATTCCCTCTTACGTAAGCAGACATGTTGGGAAATGTCTGCTTGTGTCACGTGACCAGTGGGAAGGAGAATGCGGGCGACGGATCGAACAAATCCATAAAACGTGTACAGAAGATGAAAATTAAGCCCAGAACAAACGGTCTCATGTTGATTGAGAGGAGATGCTAACACACAGTGTTTGTTCACTTTTAAACTTCGCAACAAACTTTTACCCCAAGAAATCATTGCTTTCGACGGGCTATGCAGACACACATTGATAAACCTCTTCGGCAGTCCACGACCGGGTTCAACCTTCTTGCGGCTTATATCGGGTAGGTGCAGTCCCCGATTTCCCCTCAATCTTATACTTCAATGGGGTTTGTTGTTGCGTCACATTCCATATACCCAATGACGAGATTAGTCAGTCTGAGACAGTTCGGCTGCACTGGTGCCCAGAGTTGACGATCAATAAACAAATGAGGAAAAAGAAAGTGTAAGTGTACGAAACGAGTTGAGCACGATCTAGACAATCGCAACATAAGAGGACCTAAAGTAGCCATAAATTAATGTCAGGAAAGCAAAATGGACAAATGTTACCATAGAGAAGAAGACAAGTACACATTACGACGCGAACGATTTTACGAACTACGGTTCTCGTATCGCCTGGGCAACTACCATCCACAAGTGTCTGGACGAAATTTGAGTAGCTCGGGGTACGCTGTACAAACATCGAGTCCAGTTTAGCTGAACGACCACTGACCGGACTCAGATGATTCAACAACTACAACTTTCGATTGGTATTAGTCGTAGCTGCACGAGTCGAGTTCCTAACTGACTGTGTGACTTACCCATGGGAACCGTCATCAAGAAATGGGGCCAGAAAAAGGCCAGGACTGAGGCAAGCTGTGGCCACCTGTTGAGCGTGCGATCCCCGCCTTATCGTCGGTGTCTGTGTCGCTCCATGCTCGGGCATGGTGAAAGATAGTTAACTTCGACTGGTTATCGGAAAGCTAGGGAGTCTGTAAAGTGGTGCAAACACCATAAACAATTGGGTCATCGAGCTGCAACAAACAGAAACGAGGTAGAGATCGTCTGATAACTACCATAAACAGAGTGGAAATACTTCTGTTTCAAACTGCAATTCTGTCTACCTCGCTGTCAGCAGTAGTCCTTCGATTCAGACAACTCTGACTCACCTACTCGCCGTTTTCTAGTTCACCTTCGGTGCTATCTTGATATTGAGACCAAACCACTAGACGCCAGAATGCACCATCTCTGATCTGTACAAGTACGCGACCAACAGCAACAATAAACTCGAACGTACGAACTTAGTCACCATGGCAAATATACAGAAAGTCAGGTTGGAAGGGCAAAGTTTTCCAGGTGTCAATGAGAATAATGAGAAGACTCTCCTGCCAATGGCGAATATTTTTACTGCCCGAGGTCAATGAGTGCTTTCATACACCTTCCCTAACAAGAGGAGTTTAACGTGTTGTAATACAACAGCAGTACAATGCTCAGTAGTACCAGACTATGTTGGGGTGCAACGCAAATTAGTCTTTCAAGTTATTGTGACTAGGCCACTTCATAGTGTTAGAGAACATCAAATGAGCAGAATTGCGTCATCATTGATGATGGCGACCACCCATATCATGATTGCCTATGAAGAACAAAATTACAAATCGCATACTTTGCTTTACCAAAAATATTCCTCATGGGGTGCGTAAGGCGTGCGACGTTTGGGTCGGATCAGGCAGTACTGATTTTGTGCTAAATGCAACCGATCTGTCTCATGTATTTGTCAGCTTCTCGAGAGATAGCATGGAGTCACCGACAAATGTAGTCTCGTCTTAGAAGAACGCAAGCACCGGAAGATATTTCAACAGACCGAGCAAAAGTGGTCACTTGTGAGAAGTGGCATCAGTTGCGAGGAGAGGGTACTAGGGCTGTATAAAGCCGTATGAAGCCCGTAAATCCATAGCAGACGTTTGGTATGTGATTCCATTTGTGTGCATGATCAGAAATCATCAAGCCGGCATTCTAGTTTTGAGACCTAAGTTACAGCAACCCACAGAAGTAGCAGTCTAGACTGCCCAAGTCTGAAGTGACCACCCGTCAAAATAGACCACTTCGTCTGACCCAGTATTCGCACCTCAATGGTAAACTGCCCCTCGGAAGAGACCGTTATTGGTCGCTCCTTTTACAGGATCAGGACAACTGCCGTAAAACTGGCTACAGAGTGGAAATACTTCTGTTTCAAACTGCAATTCTGTCTACCTCGCTGTCAGCAGTAGTCCTTCGATTCAGACAACTCTGACTCACCTACTCGCCGTTTTCTAGTTCACCTTCGGTGCTATCTTGATATTGAGACCAAACCACTAGACGCCAGAATGCACCATCTCTGATCTGTACAAGTACGCGACCAACAGCAACAATAAACTCGAACGTACGAACTTAGTCACCATGGCAAATATACAGAAAGTCAGGTTGGAAGGGCAAAGTTTTCCAGGTGTCAATGAGAATAATGAGAAGACTCTCCTGCCAATGGCGAATATTTTTACTGCCCGAGGTCAATGAGTGCTTTCATACACCTTCCCTAACAAGAGGAGTTTAACGTGTTGTAATACAACAGCAGTACAATGCTCAGTAGTACCAGACTATGTTGGGGTGCAACGCAAATTAGTCTTTCAAGTTATTGTGACTAGGCCACTTCATAGTGTTAGAGAACATCAAATGAGCAGAATTGCGTCATCATTGATGATGGCGACCACCCATATCATGATTGCCTATGAAGAACAAAATTACAAATCGCATACTTTGCTTTACCAAAAATATTCCTCATGGGGTGCGTAAGGCGTGCGACGTTTGGGTCGGATCAGGCAGTACTGATTTTGTGCTAAATGCAACCGATCTGTCTCATGTATTTGTCAGCTTCTCGAGAGATAGCATGGAGTCACCGACAAATGTAGTCTCGTCTTAGAAGAACGCAAGCACCGGAAGATATTTCAACAGACCGAGCAAAAGTGGTCACTTGTGAGAAGTGGCATCAGTTGCGAGGAGAGGGTACTAGGGCTGTATAAAGCCGTATGAAGCCCGTAAATCCATAGCAGACGTTTGGTATGTGATTCCATTTGTGTGCATGATCAGAAATCATCAAGCCGGCATTCTAGTTTTGAGACCTAAGTTACAGCAACCCACAGAAGTAGCGGTCTAGACTGCCCAAGTCTGAAGTGACCACCCGTCAAAATAGACCACTTCGTCTGACCCAGTATTCGCACCTCAATGGTAAACTTCCTCTCGGAAGAGACCGTTATTGGTCGCTCCTTTTACAGGGTCAGGACAACTGCCGTAAAACTGGCTACAGATGTTCTAACCTCTTCTGAAATCACAATCATCTAAACCGAATTTGGTCTGGAAAATCCGCATTTCCAGGGCCATATAACTAGACCGAGGCATAGTCAATGCAGTGTTTTTGACTCTTTCAGAAATCATCTTTTGAAATATGGCATAAACTCTTGACTTTCAGATACTATTCGCAGGGACAGCATACAGCGTTATGGTCGTGATATAGCATATCCTCCTCTGCGATAAACAACGTCAAGAAGGGGCAATCTCAGTCGACCCCTTCTCCAATGTGGGACTCCTTCCTGGAAGAGATCAGCTCGCAGACGACCACTAATTGACGGTTTTATGAAGTGGTTTCGCGACTGTCCTCTAGAAGAGATAAACCTTAGGGACCTGGAGTTGAGGTAGTCCTTCACAGGGAGCTTATTAAGAGTGCCTACTAACCTTCAAGCCATCAATAACTCAGGACTGGCCAATGCTTTGTTCGATTGCGGCTACTAGGAGGGCGGATGAACAGTGCCTCAGAAACTGACCAGCTGTAGAGGACACTACATCGGTTGGCCCAAATCAATTAGTTCAGCGAGGACGGAGGTCTAAAGGGGGAGCGAGACGAATGGACAATAGACTTCATTCATATTCAACCCATCTTTCGTGGTTCATAAAACCGTATAGGTTTGTGCTAGGATGGACTGAACCACATAGAAAAGTGCTTGGCGTAATAACATACTAAACGGTATACTGTTGTGGGAACCAGATGGAACGAACTGAAGACACTTACCGTAGGCCCGACGCATGCAGACTAAGTGTACAGCACACGCTCCAAAAAAACTTAACCCAGAAACGATGCTAGATAACAGATGGTGCATGCGTGAACTGTGTTTCAGGTTTTATAAACATCGAAATCCAGGCACCCAAAGTAGCACATGGCTGAAAAGACCCGTGGTATTTGGTAACAATGTAACAAAAATTAATCAATCAATCAATCAGTCCCTCGAGGCCAGCATTGGAAATGATTGGCAGCACAATATAAGCCCAATGAGTTGATATATTTTTCGGACAGTTGAATTAGGGAGGAACTGTCATGAATGCCTCAGGTGTCTCAACTGATAAACGACAAGCTGGCCAACAAATGCATCAGGGCGCTCAAACGCGTCACATAATCACATAGAAAAGCAGGAACTGCAGTGGAGAAAGACTGTCGAAAAATCTCCGTGATACATGGAGGATTGTCGTGATGGTGCTGCCAGAGATATGGTACTTCACCACATTCGCTTCGAGATGACGTGTGTGACGATGAGTGCTTTCCACTATCATCGGGGCGGCAGCCGCATTCTGCACTCTGTCAAATCTGCTGCCACGATAGACACACGTTATAGGAAATTGTCAGAACAAGACCATTTGCGTCAGGTGTGACAGTGACGCAGTGAAATTTCAAACCAGGGCCGAGCTTTTGTGTAAGCCACACCCTAGCTTGTTGGTACAGTGTCTAGATTCGGTTGCTATGGTGTGAACCTACGTTGAGTGTGTCTATAAGTGGGGCAACGAGCTTCGTGACCAAGTCTTATTACTACCAATGTAAATAAAGCCTAAAGAGAATCACGGAAGCAGTACGAATGCAGGTCATCTGGTTTCGAAATATACTCCATACATTTAGAATCAATGGGATGGCTTTACAGACACGTTGGAAATAACACGTTCCTCACTCGCTACAGTCCATGTGTGGAGGTAGATAGATTCAGCGATCTCCAACAGGACGAAAATTCCCATATTAAATAATGATTTCATTCGGGCCTGATTACTAGCTGTTCTATACCCATTATTGGGAATGTCATCATATACAAATGCAGTAAGCCCCCAGAACAGCATCCTCCGTCGGTCAAGAGTTATTGTAACCCATGAAGATAGTCTGAAGATCTCCATTTCCTTTGTGAAGTTCTCCTTTCGGGGAGAGTTAGTGAATGGTGTGGATACTGTACATACTGCATATCAGCCACCGGGTTCTCATGATACGATCATTGTGGATGAAGCGGTCCAAATGACTGGCACAAGGCCAGAACTTGCGGAATTCGATAAGGACCATCGAACCAAAAGACCCAGTTAGATCGGGTTCTGTCACTCTACTCCCGACAGATGGTGAAGTGCACCCAGAACGGATACGCTACGTTGGAAGCAACCACTATTCAATCTGGATGAATTCCAGAAAAACTCTATTTAACCTTGATTTCACATCGTTCAGATATCACATCCGAATGAAACACCCAAAACTGAAAGTGTTTTCGGTGAGCAACGCTCGGAATTACCAAACTGTGGAATCGCAGGTGGGATCTTTTCTGGTAGGGGGTGGGGTGAGTAGTAAGGACCATCTCAAACGCTTTTTGCATTAAATCAATAAATTTTGGTTGCGTCTTAGTCCTCCAAACAGCTATTGTGAGTGTGCCGTGGAGTGTTTCACCTCATTTGAAAAGGTTTGTTCATCCGTGATCGAGATATACGGATGCAGGGAAATGAAGTTGTCGACTGTTCATCAGATCCCATCACCTAGTTAATCACGAACGTGCTGTCCAGCTATACTGTACCCATTACCATTCACAACGAAAACAATGATAATTATGGGGAGTGTGATAAATACGGCATTATCGCACGCTGCTGTGGCCTGCATTTCACGTTCCTCAGGTGTATATTCTCACGAACGCTACCATGTGCGTGGTCTAAGCAAAATTATTGAAAAATTAAGACAATTTGGATAAAAAAATCTGCTGATGAGGCAGGTCTTACGTCGGTAGTGCTTACTTGAACGCGATAGCTGACTGGTAAATCGAGACTAGTGGCCTGGGACACGGGTTCACAACTGGTAAGCCAGTTACGACAAAGCACTTTTTGGCAGAGTCCTGTATAAAACTTATAGCTTTTTTATACTAACCAAGATAGTTCAGTGATTAGGGCACGAACTTACCGACCGGAAGATCCGTGGTTCGAAACCAACCTCGGCATCTTGACTGTTCGTGTCTAGACTTAGTTGACCTGGCGGAAACTCAGCCCTTGTGCTTCCTTCGGGTGGCCTGGTAGCTAGGCACCAAAACGGTGTTACAGCTGAACGATTATCCATTGTTTATTTTATTCAATCGCTTTGTACTAGTGAACCATGAAGTCTTCACATAAACAAACCTATCAATAAGGTTTTTAATTACATCATTCAATGCAGGGCATTCTAAGGACGTAGCAAGTATTTTACCGACTTAAACTTCTAACATCATCCCATCAGCAAAGGAAGTGGTTCAAACGTTTCGACGGGATTGTGGATAGATTAGTGCTACAAATGTAGTCTTCATAAAACGTCGACATCATTTTTTAAGCTTCTTTCATGTGTCTCGGGTCTGGCTAGCTTATGGATGGCATCATTGGTTCATTATCCTCGAAATGCTTCTAAAGTATTTAACTATCATTCGCTGTGTTCATTTCAGTGAATTTCTGCATCATTGACTTAAGCGTTGCGGCATAGTATGCGGTATCATCTGCGTGAGTAAAGTCGAATGAAACCCTGGACAATCAAGATCGACAAGGTGACGTTAGCTGGTGGTTTTAGCTCCATGAACGACGACGTGTCCCTCTCTTCCTCCACTCCTCTTTGTCTACACACCTTCATCATAGGCCTACAGCAACTAGAGCTTTCTGACAGGTGCCAAAGAACTGTCCGATTCTCACCTCTCAGGTTGGACAGTTCCTCATACAGTCAGTTCGTAGTGATATAACACTGACTGTAGCTTACACTGACGGGTCGTTTCTTCCTCCGGTGACACCAGATAACCAGACACGCAAGTCGTTTCGTCCCTAGCGCGCGTGATTACATGGATAGGAGTTAGGCTGAAGTGTTCCAATACGTGTGATCAAATGGGAAATTTTGGATACACCGAGTCAGTGACAATGTGAGAAAATCGAAACACTAGTTTGTCAGAAACTGTTATTGACCGAAGTCACACCGTGAATGGTGGTCAAAAAAGCGCGCAATAAGTCCTTCTGTGATTAAGTACACCCGATTTGGATCAAGGATGACAGCCTTTAAGAAGGAGGCAACAGGAGTGAAACAGATAAGGAAAACAAATGTAATTGACGAAAGGCTTAGGTATGCTGCACTGGCGCATTGACCGTTGGCTTGAGCCACCCATTTTTCAGATTACTCTAGGTTCGTGCTTATGCTACTTTGGTTCAAGAGGGACCATCAAATGAACCGAACCAGATGAACTAGAACTTAGGCTGGATCCAAACACAAGTAGGTTTCCCTATCGACCCAACACTTGTTCAACCACACTAACGCACTAAAATCCCTCGGCCGACACCCAACAGAGATTTAGCTTGACTTAGCTGATTGGTTCTCCTTCCGCCTTAAATCTCGACCAACCTCGGAACCTAGTCACTTGGCCTGACGAAGCTTTTGTGTCAAAAGCGAAACGTTTGCCACCAATAAATTGACCGATTGTCACCAAACTTTTTCGAAAACGCTACTTTGGTTACTTTTTGTTCGTAGAGGCGTAGTTAGGACACGTCGGTTTTTTTTCAAAAATCACTTGGTACTAGCGAAATGGCAAGATGCTGAAAAAAGCAACAGGCAATATTGTGTAACAGCAGCATTATTTGTGTTCCACCTACATTCGTCTCGGGATCGCTTATGTGTGGACCGCAAAACAGCATTTCAGGCACAAACACATGATCGTGACATGAACCGATTTAGCTAAAAAAAAGCCACAATTCTTTCCGATTTATCGCGTCACTACATTATACAATCAATTAGGAAATTAGTGAGTGAGCAGAATCTGGTGTCACACCGCAGCTTAGCCCGCAATGAGATGAGGATGTATGGTCCAGCAGACAGCTTGTCCGAATGGCTGTTCAGGTGATGCAGTGACTGAGCAGAATTTGGTGTCACACCGGAGCTTAGCCCGCAGTGAGATGAGGATGTATGGTCCAGCAGGCAGCTTGTCCGAATGGCTGTTCAGGTGATGATCTTGTCACATTGTGTCGGTTCTTTCTCCTAACCGACAGTTCGTAGGTCTGGTCGCCGTCTCTTACTGGACGGATCTGCTGCATTGCCAATTATGGTGGGCTCTAGTTCATTTGCAGCTGACATGGAGACACAGATGTCTCCACTGGAATTTCATCATGCAAGTGAAATTGGTCGAAGTTGGAACGTCTGGCAGAACTGTCAGGAACCATTAGCAGCGTGCATCTCACAAATCACGGTGATTCAAACTAGGGAGGCTCCGACTGGCAGCTGAACGCTGTGAGGCTGTGCCACGAATGGCTGACCACCAGCGGTTAGATTTAGTAGATGTCTGGTTTATCCATTTGGCCTGCGACTCACTCCGTCATAAGTTTCCGGAGCATTCGAATTGCAGTTTGCGAGATTACCATGTGGTAAGTGTGGTAAATAGACCGTCCATTTGTCTGAGGTGAGTGCTGACTTATCGAAGTGAAGCTAACAGATTACAAACAGTACGGTTGCAAAAGCAACTGACTATATGTTCGCAATCTACTGTGCATACACAACTCTGTCTGCCTTCTTGTTGTATTTTCTGGCAATACTCCGTCACGTGAGAAAGTACGCAGTTAGTTTCTTTTCACATCCCAAAACCGTTGCCTTTGGAATAAACCAGCCTTTGTTCAAATATCGACAGTGTTCCCCATCAATTGTACGCATCGATTTAGCCCACAAGCCCAGTGTACACCCTCCTTCCGAGTGGTTTACTCACGTCAGTCTCCCTGTCATTGTCCAGCAGAATCATACGTTTGAATGTTGGTTCAGTAATCCTTGCATATTCAAAAGCTTTGATTACTTGTCTGCCCAGAACTTCTCCGAGTTGAAAGGCGGATCAGCTAGAAAACGCACCAAACGGAGCTGTGCTTTCTCGAGTTAAGCCGACACATTTGGTTGTAACATGTGTACTTCTGCAATTCTTCCAATTTCTAAGGCGCGTGGTGTCTTCGACTTCAGCTCAAAGAGAAAAATGAGTTTTCCGTTGGCTACTGCTTCTCTGTGGTTTACTTCTCTAACTTTCATTATCAATCATATGAATGTGAAACACGCGCCAGCTGCTTTCTTACTCTCTCTTTCGGTATGTTTAAACTCCGTGATAGTGATGATATGCCCCCCTACTACCCCCCGGAAATGTGCACCTTATTTAGTCTCCATCACAGTCCATCTTTTCAGGCTTTTTACTGTCACAGGTGTTTTAATTTTTCCGTTCTGTTGGGAAATAGTCCATGTTCTCCCTACTCCCAGCCGTGAGTTGCGCTCAAGCGAATTTCCGTTAGCCCCACTTTGCCTAAAGTACTGAATAGTTGATAGAACAATGACCAACACGGGTTCATACTCACGCTGTCAATGGACGAAAAGATGAGTTGTTGGCATGTCCTACACTTCTGGTTCAACAGTGGTGCTGATTGACATTTTGGAGGTTTTTTTATCGCGAACACGCTGATTTTGTCTCCAAACTATTGACGTACGGGCAAATCCGAAAATGACCAACTGGGTTACAAGCCTTTTCAGTGACCCTGGAGTGACCTTGGTGGAGTCGTTGTCACAGCTAACAGGATCAACGGTGGAGTTTTTCAGGGCGCCTTCCTCGAGCATGTTTCCCCTCTCTTGCTTCTACCAGTAATAGCACATTCGCTGATGATGCTACTTATCACTATCTATCATTCAATAAGCTGTGCACTGTACAGACGAGCAGGACCACAGACGACGATCCCGCTGAAATTCGCGATTATGGTTTTCCGAACGACGTGACATTTTGTCCTCCAAATCCATCCATATTTTCCTCAAACATCATCAGTGTTTCTCGAAACTGTCAGGTTTTGTTGAGCTAGAATTTATTTGCTTCTTCGTCGTTCTAGGTTCGAATTTCCCTGACAATATCTCACACCAAACTGATCACCACAAGTACATCCAAAGTGGTGAGTTTGTGTTTTCGCAATCGTAATTATTTTACTGTCCCGAAACACCTCTTGGCTTTCAGAAATTTCGTATTCTCCCCGAGAGCAATGTTGTCAGTTCTGAGCGGGCTGTATCCAAAAAAAGATCGTCCATCTCATTGTCAGCCGTCGCCAACCGTCAGTTTCCAATTGTCGAAGCACTTTCCTCAGTTTACCAAAAATATTATGTCAATATTCAGAACTAGACAAACTTGTTGCCTTGCAAAAACTTTCAACTGTCCAACTTCCCTGTGTACACCACGTCACTCCTACCAAATTATCGTGCACGGCTGTTGACCCAGTCTTGCCGCCTTTTCTTCCCCCGAGGTCTGGAATTCCCTACTCTCATCCATACTCCTGCCTTCGTAGAATTTTCAAATTTCCACGACTATAGAGTCAGCACACTGGTGTAGAAATCATATCGATTGTCGTTTTGTTTACTCTGTACATTTTAATCGCAGGGGTTAGCCGATTAGGAAACCTGCGTCGCGCAGTAGAGGAAAATGTACACATACGACAGTGTGCTCAAAACACGCCGGTACACGAAAACGACAGATGTGACCCAATTGTTGGACTTTGGTGATCTACCTGTCTGATTTCTCGGTCACGACAGACAGAGTACATGCACGGTGCGAGTTTGAGTCGGACCATGATCAGCATATGGTCATAGAACTGGTGTGTCGCTGTAGTAATCAGAACTGCACTGCTACCTAGTTGACAATGTTGACAATTGTTTGACAATGTCAAACAATGTCTTTCAAATGCCTAAAGCTGCGGCAAGATCGGGATACTGGGTTTGGATATTGCCACACGGCAATGAGCAATCTCTCCGAAACAGATAGAAGAAATCCGAAAAGCAGCGTAAACCAATGTGAGGAAATCCAGCTCCAGAAACGGCCAATCCTAGCAAAGATTGCAGTGGACGGGGTAATGATGGACTAGGGAGCGCGAGAGCTTACCGTCTGTGTTTACAGCGACATGATTCAGTCTCTTATTTTACAGTTGTGAAAAAGGCCATCAACGACTTGGATGACCCGGTCAACGACAATATCGAGGCTTCCGAGATGATGAGTAAAGCACTTCTTACTGCTTCCTGTATGTTCGGTTGAGGGAAGGGGATCAATCAATAAAAAGCTGTAGATAGGTACTTTACTTCCAGGTTACCCAGACTGTTCGCCTAAAATGCGTCTTGAAAGTTCGGTTCTTGTACTAGCCGGATAGATGAATAAATTATCCGCCACGTTGATTACTTGAGGCTATACGAACTTCGCCAATACCAGTTAAACTTACCACTGAGGGATTACGGGATGTGGCAAAGTACACCCGTCATGTGTTTTTTTCATCCCAGTTGATCGCCTACCTTGTCCTACCGCATGATGTCTCGCCGCACAGCTTGGTGGTCCTCGACCTGAAAGCACACACGTCAGCGCCAAGTCACTCGAACACAAAACAGAGCGACGCAGGGGTCATCGCACAGTAAAAAGAGTGGGGTCGCGATAACCAGACAGCCTGATGCACTTCCTGAGCTAGCAACAGGCCGTACTTGGTCATCAGTTAATTTTCACGTTCTCACATCTCTTCCGCACCAGACTGACTGGCACCAGTTAGCGATTCTAACCGTCTTTGCCTTGATTTTCTGGGATTTGCGGGCACACACGCAGAAGTACGATGGCGGATGCAGCACTACACTTCCGTACGAGAAAAATGCGGCCCGACGGAAGGGTGACTGGCGTCAGGCAAAGACGAATGGGATAGGAGAAAGGGAAAACTAACGTGCCAGACTATCAATGCTTGATAAACAGAGAAATTGACAGGCAAAGTGCACTTGCATTTGAAGAAAAGCAAAGTGAGCGTTAAATTGATGATTAGTGAGGATGAAGAACTGCCCTGAAGCGGACGAACTGAAGCAGGGAAATATATGAGATGACAGCCAAATTAGAGTCGTGAAGGGTCATCCTCAACATCCAGAAACACTCTAGAGTAGTCCTCGTCATCACCATTATCATCATCATCATCAGCCCTGAAGCGAACTGAAGCAGGGAAATATATGAGATGACAGCCAAATTAGAGTCGTGAAGGGTCATCCTCAACATCCAGAAACACTCTATCTAGGTCCTCGTCATCACCATTATCATCATCATCATCATCATCGCTGACAGGAACATCGGTATGAGAGTACTGGTGCCTAACGGCCGTATAAACAGATCAAGTTATTCAAATAAAACACTCACGCGAAGCGAAGAATAAGAAGTTATGGTGCTAAAAGACACCTCGAAACGTTCATTCAAACAATGTGATAAAAACGGGTAACACGAACATCAATGAAGCTCGAGGGGTACACGAAGGTCCGTGGTTCGAATCCAACCTTGGTTGTTCGACAGCTCCTCCCTAGGCTTGGCAGTTTTTCGGCCCCTTGAGTAGCACGACGGCTGTGTACCAGGACGGTACAACACCTGAGCTATGAACACGATTGATAATGTTTAGTGATAATGTTTAGTCCCCAGCCAGGGGGTCACATGAACCCAAGCCTGAAAGAAAGATAGCACACCAGACTTTCCATAATTTCCTTCACTCTTGATTTGCAGTACTGAACTTGGCGTGGGAACAAGTTTTTCTTGGCATACAGTGACACACCGTGGGTGTCAAATGGTCAAACCACGGCGACATCTGAAAGATACCCAAGAGAGATGCAGACGAACACCACCCCCCTGGAGGGATCCTAATTGCCTTTCCTGTCAGCTACGACTGAGGGTATGATTCAGGCTGGGTGGGGGGTCAGACAGCCTACTCCCCGTAGTCGGTATGGCCGAGGGAAAGCGCAATGAAAAAAATCGATGCACACGCACATGTAAGTTTATGAGATACAAACAAATCACCAGCCACGATTGCTCAGTCAGTAAGATTCGGATCAAGTGGATTCAAGGTGGAGGCTGGTGTATCATGGTTTCCAGTATTGGGTTTCAGTGCAATGTCGTTACGTGAAGAAGAAAAAGTTACCTATAGGCGGACCAAAGATCGTCATTCGAGACGCCAGAATGGACACACACGTCTTTCTATCGCAGACATTTTTACATCCAACGAACAGTGGTGACATGCTTAACTCGCATGACTGCCGACCGGTATGGCCAAAAATATCTAGTGTTGATGAGGTTTGACAAAGAAGGCGGACGGGCAGAGAAAGGGAAGAAACATTGTCAGTGACCGATTGCATATAGCAACACGTATGACGTACGAGTGAAAACACGAGTCCTTATAAAAAGAACAGGGAATAATCGAAAAAACTGTGGTCAGTTGCTAAAGAAGCCGATACCTACGGGGTGTATCTCTCAAGTAAACATCATTATAATCGGTTCCGACAGATGCAAATCGCACAAGTTGTATGGTGGTTCCAGCTGCCGCAGGTTAATTGGCTGACGATCTGAGATGTGAGAATAGATAGCAGAAACCAGTGGCTGATACCGTTGGCAGGTGAATCCAGAGAAGACAGGAGAGTGTTCGTTGGCGAAGAAATTAAGGGGTGGGAAGGCTATGAATTGAATGCAACAGCTTAGATCAATACATATCATTCAGCCTGTGCCTGGCTCACATCAGTTTGGAAGGGTCACCCAGCCGCGGACTAATGACAAATTTTCAAGCCAAATGCTGAACTCAGCAAAAAGATCGAATTCCATCTGATCAACAACGAACGGCTAACGTCCGTCAGCATCTCCAACCGTTTCCACGCGGACAGACAACGATGACTAGCGCGATTGCTTGTGATCACCCTCACACTTACTGGCGAGCCATTACTCGACCTGCCCTGCCTGGTTCATTTCCACTCAACGCACTGCAGTGCAAAAAGTACTCTCCGAGGTAGCCAATCGATTGGCATACGAAGCGTGTGACCAGTGCAACCTATTGGGTGTCGGCAGACTATCTATCGTGCGTGAGTTATTTCCCGCAAAAACCATTAGATGTACTTCAGCATTACCGATATGATGTTTCCACGAAACTCAGATAAACAAAGCCGATGGTCGAACTGAAAATTTTTTTTGACATCAGTAGCTCTCGCCCATACAACCACATAAAGTGAACTGCGGCATTATACACCCGATCCTTGAGAGATAAGCTGACGTCATATCTACACTGACCAACTCAGCTTCAATCATTGGTGGGGGGAATAACAGGAAATAACCTCACCCGCAAAGCTCATTCAAATGACGAAGTTGTTGGTAGGAAGCAAGTTTTCTTATTTGAAAGAAGGGTATGAATAGCAGATGATCGATAAGGAAAACTTAGAAGTTCATCCTACTAGTCGGTGAACCCATAGATGTTTTGGGTGAAAAGGAAAGTGTTTCCACTCAAAAGGGTGGTAACCAAAACCTACCCAAATATCAGCCTTTGCGCCGACATACGGTTCACCTTTGAAGATTTCCGGTGCAGCGTAGGGAGGACTGCCACACCATGTGGTCAACAATGGCTGTGACGATGACTCCAAATGATGCGTACCAAAACTGAAATCTGGAATAGAAGGAAGACAGATAGTTCCGTTGGGACCAGTGTTTGAGCACAAGGCAGATCGTGAGACAAGATGTAGTCCGATAGTGGCCGGTTGTCATTCATGCTTACTGTTTTCCTGTTAATTTGAAAAAAAGTCTAGATTTCCGCGCATACCGTGTCAACTTTACGTAGGTATAGCCTGTTAGCCCGAGCTGAGCTGAGCTCAGCGAACAACTCGATCACTTACATCGAAGAGTCTCCGGTCAACGTTCGAATAATAGTTTGAAATCCGCGTCCATGTGATGAGTCCCAGTCAGAAAAAAAAGAACAACGGATTGCTATTACAAAGCCGACCAATCCTATTTTACAGTCTTCGGAAATTAGATCCTCCACCTACCTTAATATGTGTATTGCGATTGATTAAGTGGACTGAACATGGGTGCAGTGAACAGGTTTTTAAATGAGGCCACCTCTACACGCTGTATTAACAGGGTTAATTTCTAAGGCGTGGGACTCTGGCGAGCCCTGTTTCAGTTCAGTTCAGTTCAGTTCAGTTCAGTTGATCCACTCATTCAGCTACGGACTGTTTACCAATGGTATGCACGTTTAGCCGGCTACGTTTTCGTTCACAGGGAAGAAAAAAGCCTGGTGGACTACCCAGTTCGATTTGATTTAATTATCTGGTAAACTGGTATGCGGCTAACTGCGCATTCAGTGCAATAGTACTGATGCCCGAAAGCAAAGAAAATTGAACACCTGCTTTGACAAGGTTGAGCTGGTAAAAGTTCATTCCAAAATATCAATACCAACATTAGCAACTGTACGAGTGTGGGTCAACGGTCCCGTCCTGTTCCTCTTAGATAAAGTGCCATAGTGAGGAGAAAGATTACAACAGAGGAGCTTGGCTACAGCAAGCCATAAACACACGGCAGGCCTAAACTTTCGACACACCCTAACAATCTGAGTGAAAAACCGGCAGCCTGAGCACCAGCGACCACACCCTCTGGTGTCTCTAAACCAGCACTAAAAGGATTGAATGGAAAGCGAACAGCACCTAATTTTAGTAGTTCTTCATTCTTTCATTCATGTTAGCCTGCACAGTCTCCGATTAGCGTGACTGAATGTGGCGTGGGAAAACAGTGCACTAATCTGTAGCAGCAACTTAGCATGTGTGACGCATGATCGAGTCGCCGCAAATTGTGGTATGTATAACATAAGTGAATTACGTGATGCTGCTTTCCTGATCTGTTCGTTGATAACTTCTTGGTGCCAGTCTGTTCAAGCTATGATTCCGTGTTATCCATGGTAAACTGTCTGAAGAGGCATCAGATGCAACGTCCGCAAAGACCAGTTTTTGGAACTATATAATAGGCTATACTGTCAAACACTGTCAAACACGGCCCTTAAGGCCAAGAGACATACCTTTTGACGCGTCATGAGAAACACCATTCCGGCCTTCGATACTCAATTTGTCAAACCACATTCAGAACTAATGCAACATGGTGCGTTCCACAACTCTGCTCTGAATTGCATTGGGACACTCAAAGCACGACCGAAAGCGAAGCACGTTCTTACAGCTGATGATGATAGAGAGGGGACAATTTCGACAGCCTTTTCCAGGATGCCGCGTGCTTTCTGTTCTTTTTCAACAATAAGAACAAAGTGGCTGGTGTGTTCCAGAGCGAGAGGATTTCTCCCTATAGTGATTCACATGAGGGGCTTTTACACAACTTCCAGTCTGATGAATTATCACATAAGAAAAAAACCAGACGAAAACGAAACGATTAGACGAACATAGCGAAAAATACTGCATGCAGGGGAACCGTTAAGGGTCTTTCATCCACTCATTCAGCTACGGACTGTTTACCAATGGTATGCACGTTTAGCCGGCTACGTTTTCGTTCACAGGGAAGAAAAAAGCCTGGTGGACTACCCAGTTCGATTTGATTTAATTATCTGGTAAACTGGTATGCGGCTAACTGCGCATTCAGTGCAATAGTACTGATGCCCGAAAGCAAAGAAAATTGAACACCTGCTTTGACAAGGTTGAGCTGGTAAAAGTTCATTCCAAAATATCAATACCAACATTATCAACTGTACGAGTGTGGGTCAACGGTCCCGTCCTGTTCCTCTTAGATAAAGTGCCATAGTGAGGAGAAAGATTACAACAGAGGAGCTTGGCTACAGCAAGCCATAAACACACGGCAGGCCTAAACTTTCGACACACCCTAACAATCTGAGTGAAAAACCGGCAGCCTGAGCACCAGCGACCACACCCTCTGGTGTCTCTAAACCAGCACTAAAAGGATTGAATGGAAAGCGAACAGCACCTAATTTTAGTAGTTCTTCATTCTTTCATTCATGTTAGCCTGCACAGTCTCCGATTAGCGTGACTGAATGTGGCGTGGGAAAACAGTGCACTAATCTGTAGCAGCAACTTAGCATGTGTGACGCATGATCGAGTCGCCGCAAATTGTGGTATGTATAACATAAGTGAATTACGTGATGCTGCTTTCCTGATCTGTTCGTTGATAACTTCTTGGTGCCAGTCTGTTCAAGCTATGATTCCGTGTTATCCATGGTAAACTGTCTGAAGAGGCATCAGATGCAACGTCCGCAAAGACCAGTTTTTGGAACTATATAATAGGCTATACTGTCAAACACTGTCAAACACGGCCCTTAAGGCCAAGAGACATACCTTTTGACGCGTCATGAGAAACACCATTCCGGCCTTCGATACTCAATTTGTCAAACCACATTCAGAACTAATGCAACATGGTGCGTTCCACAACTCTGCTCTGAATTGCATTGGGACACTCAAAGCACGACCGAAAGCGAAGCACGTTCTTACAGCTGATGATGATAGAGAGGGGACAATTTCGACAGCCTTTTCCAGGATGCCGCGTGCTTTCTGTTCTTTTTCAACAATAAGAACAAAGTGGCTGGTGTGTTCCAGAGCGAGAGGATTTCTCCCTATAGTGATTCACATGGGGGGCTTTTACACTACTTCTAGTCTGATGAATTATCACATAAGAAAAAAACCAGACGAAAACGAAACGATTAGACGAACATAGCGAAAAATACTGCATGCAGGGGAACCGTTAAGGGTCTTTCAGTCCCTCTGACATGCTGCGGATGATATTACTAAACTTCTAGGACAATCCACGAAGCGTGTTTTAAAGGAAAGAAAGATCAACAGAGTCGAACGCATCCTTTGAGTCGCGGGACTTTAGAATTGTTGGATGTCTACAGATGCGCCACACCTTGTCCTTGGAAAACTCCAGATTTGTCTACACAATTGCTTCTCGGCTGAAAACTCAGTTGCTGTTCCCGGCTACTGTGAATAAGTGACGTCCTTGTTACGGGGGTGTCAGGGTGACACCTGACGGGCATTTATTTAGAAACAGAACCAAGTATTGATTTGGCCAAGTTTAGTGGATAGATTTAATAATGCAAGTACTACCCCAAGCCCTCAACAGAACGGGTGGAAGCTCATCTGAACCTAAAATTCTTGAGCGAGGGAATCTCTGATCGGAGATGTCGGTTTCATCGTCCAAGGTTTTCTGAACTTTAATCAAAGTGTTTTGCACAGTAAGCGTAACACGAGTCTAACTCATAGGTCATTGAACGTCCCGCCAAACACTAAGCGGAAGGTCTATAAAAACTAACAATACGCTACCAACGGTGTTTGCAAATACGTGAAGTAGCCGAAACGGGTGAATGTGGGATAGTGATGTTGCGGAATATGAGTAGTTCGGGTATACTGATTGGTCGTTAGTACAATAACCAAATAGGGGATAGTGTCTCTGTCGGATTGATCACCACACTCTACTTTTAAGTGAGAGTTTGAACTATGAATGTCGGGGAAAATAGATTGCTGTAAGACGAATGAGATTAACCTTGGGCATGATAGTGGTTTGTATCAGTGCCGCTTAGATCACCCATGAGTAGTGACTCAGTGAGGAGGATGTCCGGGGTCCAGCCTCCCCTAACAACCGAACATCATATCAACTGGACGGATGTGCCATGTGCGGCCTACGCACTAAACGAAAGCACGCCTTAATTGGTCATATGTCAGCCAATCTGGATCGAGCATCTATAGCTTGACGCTTCTCGCTCCCCCTCGAAGATTCCAGTGCAAACTTGTGAAACATTCTGTGATCACCCTAAAAATAGGGTTGTAATAATGTTCCTTTGATTCCATAAGGCGGACGGAGCAGGAAGCCAAGGACCAACACAGAGTTGCAACACCGTTCAACAAGTCACAACAGAAGGTGATCAAAGAAAAACTCTGACACTGTTAAACTATTGATGGGTACCAAACGTTTACAGCACTCGCCTATCAATTTTATATTCATGTCTGCGTCAAAAAGAAGGTTTTCTGCCTTCAAGTCCCGATGAACGATTCCACAGGAGTGGGCGTAATCCACAGCACACAGTACGTCCATGAATTTTACGCGTGCTTGGTCCTCGGAAAACCGTCCGTGGGTGGCAATATAATCTGCAGGGAAAGCCAGGGAACAGTGGTACAAGTTGTAACGGTCTCCAAAACAACCCATGAAATCAAGGTCATCGCATATGAAAAGGCAAGTCAAAGTTCGATTGAAATAACTAGAGGTACAGCACTACGTGAAGAATATCATCTCATACGATGAGGAATGCTTTTGCACACCAGACAAAAAATATGCCAAAAGTTCCCATTGGTACTCACTTACAGACTAAGGCAAAGGACAAAGGGCCAATGGTATCTTTCAGTACCAGGCGCGAGTAGTATTCTTCGACGCAGAAACTGAAACGGGCAAGCATTTGCTCTTGTTTCGGTTCTCGATACTTTCCTTTCCACATGTCATTAGCCATGCCTGACTGCTTTCCTCTTCACACTCACTTAGCAGGAAAACACCGGAGTACGCTCATAAAATAAAGATTACGACTATGGACCGTCCCCTACGTTATCCCAAACCAGGCTGACCAAGTTTGTGGACCGCTTCAGCGTAATATGTACGATGAAAACTAAACAGCCGGGAATAGAGGAAACTGAGATATATACTCGTGCATCGACGAGACATGTTGGCATGCTCACCGTCGGAGCTAATCGACTAGGTCAAACGGGTAATCTCGTGCTACATAGCTAGGTTCAGCTAAGTAAACAGGAAAATGGTTCTGTGGCACACATTCATTATAACATGATAATGGGTGGTAGGCGGCGCACGTTAGTGTCCGGAGAAGTACCGCCAACAAAAACTGTGGAGATCGTCACCGAATATCTCTTGGTTTGCGTTGTCGGTTTGTCCATTTGTTTTCATGACCATCTCATACTCACTTTCTGGGCACTATATAGAATTTTACTTAATTACACGTTATTGCATTGTATCGTATATTTTTTGTTGTATTCTATTTCACTGAATATGGTTTGGTGTTCCATATGAAAACGACAAATCTGGCCTATCGGAATGTTGCTTCTACAACGATACTAAAGGTAAGCTACCGTGACCATCGTTGTACAGAACAAGCCTAATAATGTATGCGTCCATTGAGTGGTGCGGGTCAACAGACCACAGCTTGCATACAGTGTGAGTGTCAATTGTTCGGTCATCCCCACTTGATCGCGATGAAACCTTCCCGAGCCGGGTTCACTCAGGGACACGCGGCTTATAGTGTTCGATAGAAGCAAGGTCAAGACGTAAGTAACAATAGATAACTGAGGTTTCACTGCCTACGAGTAACGCCAAGTGACACTTCTAGTTTATGTATATATGGTTTAATACGAAAACAAGATTACGTCAAGCAGGTGAAGTTGATCTGTGCTGGAAATTCAACAAAGTTGTAAAGGTTATTGAAAACTCTTGGGTAGACCATGACCTACACAGTTCTTGGGGCTCACCACGGATTTGCACCAACTTCATGTTTCACTTGAACACCGAGTTATACGTAATGGACGAAATACATTTAGTGGCAAATTAAGTTAGTGTTACAGGGGAAATCAACTGAATCTCAGCTGAATCACTCGTCTGTGATAATCTCCAACTGTGTGTGCTGCATGAAGGGTGCCCCCATCTGTCAGTTGTAAAGCTATCTCATCATCTTTAGTAATCATCGGAACTGCGCACCGAATAAATCGAGCCAATATTCTTACGCATAGGTGGTGGCTGAACAGTAATAAGAGTAAATAAGTTAATCGTCTAAGTAAACTCAGACAGGTTCTCCACTCGTGCAGCTTAAGCCATGTAGTATAGTGGTAACTGACTAAAGCTCCACAGAGCAATGGCGTTGAGACTTGTGGGATGTTTGCCCTCGTACATAATACGGTACATATATATATATATATATATATATAT